AAGATTTTATTTGATTCAAAGAACATTTTGTTTTTATCTTATCTTATTGACAACTTCTTTTTTTTTCTTATAATTTCGTTGAAGAATAAGGGCTATAGCTCAGCGGTAGAGCGCCTCGTTTACACGTGCGTTAATGTGTTTAAGCAATGGAAATCGGTGCATTCGATCTACAATAGATATCCGATGTAGCAAAGATTATGTCTTACTCGGAAATTTTTATTTGGGGAAAATAGCATGACATAAGAAATACTATTGATTGCACATATCATGAATTTTCAGAGCTCCCTCTTCACTGACAGGCTCAGTTGTTAATCGGTTTTCTATTATGAAAGAGTTTGTCGTTGGTCTATGTTTCAGACTCAACTTTCGACCTGCTTGTCTTCGGAATGATTTCCTGAAGACCCTTTGCAGTTGAGTATAAATCTGTCCACTCATTCTCTTCCACCTTCGTTAGAGAGAGGATCTTCTTTAGTTCTACCGGTTTTCAGGCGGTCTAGCAATACGTTTACACCTGTCCATAAATGACTAGGTCCCCGCAATCTAAGGGATATCAACTGAAGTTGTATTACTTTCAGAACAAGTCTTGTATGTAACCATCCGGTTCTTGTCACCTATCTGCTTTCAGATAATTTGTGATGCAAAGATCAGACTTAAACAAGAAAGGATTTTGACTATCATAGCCGATATCCGAAATTGCTAGAGTAAGGTCGCCGAAAATCCCTCGTTCCTGACATATGCTTCCACATCATCTTATTATTTTGTATATTCTTTTATTCTTTGGATCCTTGGTCTCTACGTCCCTGTTTCTTTTTCTTATCAATTAATACACTTGAAGATTTATAGGAAAACGCATATGGCTTATCCATTCCTTCTTCCCTAGCTTTGCTTGTCGCTGTCCAGCATTATAGGCAGTATTCTATAGGTCTATCCCACAATAGGAGGAATTGTTCCCATCTCTTGAACAGCCTCTCTGGTTTCAACTCCTGACGGTAAGTAAGAAGGTTTGAATTCTCTGTAACACTTATTTTCTTACTCTACAGAGGTTTGGAGGGCCTGCCCCTCCAAGGATTAAAGACTTAAGTCTATTTCCCACCGTGATTGCCTCTGTCCTACTAGGAACATTCCAACCCTGAAGTGGTACATAACACGAAGGCTATGACTTTTCAGCAGCTAAAATATTGTCTTTAGCTGCCTTCCCCCATAGGTGGAAGCACCGGCTACATCTTTTATGTAGTCCTTACACACTAATGCTTTCGTATTGGCTAAGCTAGATACTACAGATCGCCTTAGCCGCTGCGCACGGTCCCAATGTGCAGACTCATCATACAAATGCATCTACTGTAGTCTTAGGTAAAACAATGTTTGCGAGCCCCAAGGCTACGTACATTATTGTCTACCAGTTCCTTGGAACCTTTCACTTGGTCACCCAGGCAGCTAGCAAGTCTCACCATCTAGCTCCTCTAAGGACTCAGACACACCCCATGAACAGAGCTTCATGTGGTCTAGATGTGCCTGCGGGGTGACTAAGGAATCAATAACATTGGCCGTCTTTTGAGATGGTAAGGGATTTCACCACCTCAACAAGAGCAGAAGCGGCTACTACTTCTACAGGTCGGATGTGCTTCCCAAGGAAGTGCTCGCAGTGCTTCCCTAGGTTGAAGGTGCCTTACCCCTTTTTGGGTTGCATCCCCGTGGTGACCAACTGGACTGGACCCCTCGCCTTGGTTTGGCCATTCATGCCTTACACTTTGCTGGTGCCCCTTTCTAGCCGGTCTATCTGCACATCTCAGACCCTCCCTCATCCTTATAGACAGAGTAGGACCTTTCCCTTGACTCCTAGACTGGTTGCCCTTCCACATACTAGTCGCCTCAGCCTAACTACAAACGGCCAACACTCCTCCCTTTGGTTTCATGGCCGCCTACTCGCTCTATTTGTACCCCAAGATCGTCCTTTCATCGATCCCGGGCTCGCTTCTTCTTCCTCGTATCATCCAAGCCCTCACACACGTTACTTAGCTCGGCCTCGCAGTCCAAGCCTTTTAGAAGAAGAAGAATCGTTTGTAGCCTAATTGGAATCACTTCCTACTCCTAGTAGGTAAGTATCTAGTGTGAGTAGCGAAGCGAATAGGGATGTAGCACAACGACCCCTGCAACACAACTAGTTTCCTCTGTCATGTCGGAGAACTTATGAGTTGCAAGCATTCTTGTCTCATCTCTTCCCTTGACAACAGAAACTGATCAAGAGACCTGGCCCTAACCCAAGAATCAAGATCACGGTTGTGTCCATAGTCCTGTGCCAACCCACCCAACTACCTTGCTGCAGCTACATTTTCTCCCTTCTCTAGACGCGTGTCTCTGGCTGTGGACCAATCACTTGTGCATGGAACAGGTCGCCTAACCTGCTCCACAAGCCGGTGGCCCAGCTGCCGCATTGTAGTTGCAGCAGTTGATATGGGGACAGAAGAAGCGGATCCTGAGTCTGCCACCACTTTCTACTGATGAACCGCCTGCTAGACATATGTCGTACTGAGGTACCAAGAGACCGCTCATAGGCAACAATGACACGGACGCACCGGCCACCGCTAGGGGAACTACACCGGGTTGCGCAAACCTCACCGTCGGCTTGGGGCCTCTCTGCGCAGCCAGAATCTAATTCTGACCGGCTATGAATGTGGCTAGCATTTCCTAAAACACGACCTGTACTTATGCCACACTGACTGGACCGAAGTGTCCGCTTATTAGGAGCTTCCACATCCAAAGCTTCTAACCTGTTTAGTTCCACCTCCCTAGTCTAGGCTTTCTTCTTCTAGCTCTATTTCGTCTATCCTCTACCTTCTGTATCTGGCGTTGTAACTCTGTGTGAAGGGCATCCGTTTCTCTCATCTCAACGTCCTCCATTGACAAGGGTTGTTGTTGGCGGTCCTGCACGCCAACAGACTGACTAGTGCAAGGCCCTGATATGCCCTGACTAACACCTATCGAAGAGGCCTGGGAAGAGACCTGGGAAGAGACTTGGGACATTGCAGAAATGGTAGCCTTTGCTGCCTTGGCCTTGACTCTAACTTGCGCTGCTACTACAGCTGCTAGTGCCGTCACTGCGTTGGCTGCTGCCACCTATACCTTCTGCGAGACCCAACTTTGCTTGGTGTCAAAGGCCAGGCGAGGGTGTACTAGTAAGTAACTGGTAGGCTGTCATAGGTCCATAGGTTGTAGGGGTTCAATTTGTAGGTCTGTCGAATAGAAGTCTTAGTGAAGTCTAGAAGTCTTAGCTGTAGCCTTCTAGAAGGTCGGCAAGTGGGCAAGTGCGCAAGTGGTGAGTCAAGTGGTGGACTAACTGTAGTGCGATTGCAGTACGACCTCAGTAGGATAGCAATGAGTCTCGAAGCAGTCAGCGGTGCAGTCGAGTCAGTCCCAGTCCAGTCCAGCAAGTTCCATGAGGGACTGTGTGCACCATGGGCTGATGGAAAGGGGCAGACCAACGAGCTCCAAAAGTATAAATCAAGAGGCAGYGCCCAGCCATTCATTCATTCCTGCGTGAGCCGTGCGGAAGCGCTGCCACAACCCGGAGCCGAAGTGGGCGAGAGAGAAGGAGTGTAGCATAGCGATAGGGTAGTAGCGGCCATAGCCACCATAGCTAGAGTTAGTATGTAGTGTGTGTATGTGTGTGTGAGTGCAGAGTAATGCGTGTGGGATATCCACGGTGATCCGGGGTGTGCAAACAGAGAGCTGTTTGGGCACTGAGTCGCCATAGCCATCGAAAGTGAACTTGTATTTGGACTGTGTCTTCGGCGACCATATCTCTGAGTTCTGTGTGGGCGTTTGTCGCCAGTTTGCTGTGTGCCTGTTTGCATGCCTGGGAGTGTGAAAGAAAGCGAGTCTGATTGCATTGGTATTGGAGCTGGTACCCGCTATTCCATGCGCGCCATGGTATGCAGGGGGTGATGCGCCATAGCTGAGGTGGCCGCCAAGAGAAGAAGTCCGCCATAGCGGACTTGGAGGTTGGAGTAGCCGCCGCG